ACAATTTTAAAACGAGTCTATTATGGAAAGGATCTAACCTTACTCCGACCAATGTCTCGCACCGTACGGTAACTAACTCTGAATGAAGTAGTGCTAAGCCCTCTCCATAGTTGAGTTTTAAAACGGTGAGATTTGTGACAATACATAACAAACTAAAACAGATAATATGTGTTAACGATGGACTTGAGCTGTTACAAATGACATTAAAGTCAGACACTGAGCAGTGTACCAGCGAGGACACTGGGCTTCAAGGGAATAGAATGTGAGATCCCACATCGATTAGAAGAAGAACAAAACATGTCTACAAAAATGTGGTCCTTGTAACGATGATACATGCCATCACGACCCATAATTAAATTTTATTCTCACATAAAATAAAAATTCATGATTAAGGAATGTAATAAAAGTCTAGCCCCATAATTAAAAATGATCAAAAGAAGAAGTATGTTGGTTCAATTTAAGCGTGTTGAAAAAAGAAGTGTAAGAATGTAAAGGCAAAGTTCATTCATTGGAAGACTTGCTTGTAAGAATGTGAGTTATTAAAATTCTCTGCCGACGAGTTTACTTCTTTTACCAAATAATCTGGACCATCCAAAATGCTATCCAGTCATACAACAGCCCGAGAAACAGGGAAGAAAGGACGAGGTAGAGTGAAATCTGTGTCTGTTTCATGCTCTCCGCACCAGGTGGTCATTACCAGATCCAATACCCATAATTGTGCTGAATCTTTGACCATTTGTTCATCCAAATGCTTCTTAGACTTGGGAAACTAGAGGGTTTAATCCGTAATGATAGTGAATGATGGAAGAGCTGACCAAGGGAAAAAAGATGGATACTTTTGCATTAAACTATCAGTTATGTATCGTCATTACCCTCCCCGTTTGAACAATAGTAAGAGATTTTCGTACTCTTATAAAGAATGTTTCGGTCCGGATGTGTACTATCATTTCCGTTCAACAAAAGCCAAAGGCATGCCTAGTTGTAAAAATCAATGAGAAAACATAGCTTCCTTGAAGCAATTAGAATCTGTCATGCACTTTATTAAACTCTGTGTTAGAAGATCAGCAAAACAGAGGAACCATATCTTCTATTTGTTGAAAGTAATAATAACTAATAATAGAATAGAATTTGAATTGGTTTCAAATTCAAATTCATCCACAAAAATCTCAACCGACTACAGAATCACCCTAGAAAATCTCAACCCACTCTGGAATCCCCTATAAAAGGACCTCCCTCCCCATCATTCAAATCACTCCTCCTCTCAATCTCAATTCAGTTTTCTGTTGTCACCAACAACTGGTATCAGAGCTGAGTTGACTGTTCGACGCCCGGGGAAGGCCCCCGAAGGAGCCGTTCCCAGTCCGTCCCCCGGCCGGCACGCAGCGACCAGCTCTCGTCGCGGGAGTAGCTCGAGCAGTCCACCAACAGCCGACGGGTTCGGGACTGGGACCCCCGTGCCCAGCCCTCAGAGCCAATCCGCCATCCTGAGGTTCGACGGTATTTTGCCGACTTCCCTTGCCTACATTGTTCCATCGACCAGAGGCTGTTCACCTTGGAGACCTGATGCGGTTATGAGTACGA